TTAATGTTCTAGTTATGCTTTTTCCTGCAGCTGTTATTGGCTCTAATGAGAAAGAGCAGATTAACACTTCAAACTTGACCCCGTCTCTCTCTCTTTCTCACTTTACCCCCTATAGATTTCTCTCTCTTTGTATCTATCACCCTCTTCATCTCTCTCTTCCTTTTTCTTTACTTCCTGCCAAAAAAAATTGGCACTTACCAAGCAACAAATGGCTTTGGCAGGTAAATAAAATTACTTGCCATTTAGGCAGTAAGTCAAACTGCAAGAATGAACTTCACAAATGTTAAGTCTTTTAAATAAAATCACCTAGAAAAAGAAAACATTTTTGCAATTTGTGCATTTCCTAAAAACTTTTTATTTTCAAAAGTTTATCTATGACAACCTTGTTTAAATAGATTTTCTCCAAATCACAATGTGGAGACATAAAATAGAAGAGCTAGAACTAATATGCAAGAAAAAACTATTAGATATTTCCAAAATTTATATTAACTATAAAATACTTACAATTAGCCTATTGTATTTCTAGAAAAAAAAAAAAAAATATATATAAATAGAATAAAATTAATGCAAAATTTAAATTCATGACCTGGTTGTTTCAAAACATAGCAAGATGTCTACCTAGACAGCACTCATTGGGCATCATAGTCTGTGAGGCTTAAAATGCTGTCTATGTAGGCAGCTAAAAAGGTTTTTAAACCCATATTTGGTGTTATATTTCTTCATCAGCTAATCTGTTCTCAACACATTTCTCTCTCCCTTATGTTTAGCCTTCATTTCTTCCTTCTTTCATCTCATTCTGAACCTGTCCAGCGGGACGGTCTGATGATTAAGTTGTCAGATACAGATACAGATGCCATTTGTCATACCGTTTTATTACTTACACCTACATGCTTTTTGTATTTACACACAAATAATCCCATAAAGTTGTTTGCTTTAGCTGGCCTAATGCTGATCTTAAGAACATCTTACCAATGGCTGCTTCAAAAGGACATATACTACATCAACATACACACATAGACACACAAATACACCTGGATGACCATGTGCAAACTAGGGGTGTGCGATATTGACAAAAAATGATTTTTGCATTTTATGGGCATTTTTACCTTTATAAAGCCATTTTTCCTAAAAGTGTCCATTATTTTTTGAGTCAACTTCTTACATTTAATCAGGGAATTAGAATAATAAGACATTTGGGCTGTTACCAAGCAAATGAAATCAACACAGAAGCTGCATCTGAAGTGGCATTTAGATGTATTTACACACATGTATTTTGCTTAATGCAAGACATGAATGCATTTAACCGGCAATTACAAATGCATAAATAATGTTTTGATATATTAAACATAAAATGTTGAATACTGATATTTGAAATGATTTAAAACATGAAAAAAAGACGAAATTTGAAATTAAAACTGCCAGCAGGTGGCAGCAAATCACTGTTAATAAGTGAGTCATTGCGATTGAACCGAATAATTTAAACGGTTGATTCATTCAAGAACGAAACACCGTCATGTTGCTCATAGACACAAAACAGCATTGTGGCTGTATTCGGAATGATTTTTGTTGGCAAAATAGAGCAAAAACAAGCAATATGGTGTCTAAAAGGTAAGTCTCTTAATTAACTTATTGTTTATTGAATTCAATGTCACATTTGTAATCATGGTAATTTTTGGAGAAAAATGCCACTCTTCGTGTGAAATTGAATATCTATATGAATAAATATGGTATAAATATATACATTTTCTGTCATCGTGTCTTGAATTTGTGATCATTCTAAATGCATTTTAATAGACTGAATCATGCAGTGAAAGAAAACACACTAAATGCGCACACGCACTAGTCTAGACTTCACGTAATGTATGCGTGCGCTCTGTAGGGATGTTTTGAATGTTTTTTTCAAAATACTCGATAATGTCAAATCGCACATCGTTAAAACAACAATTATGATATTATCGCAGACGATATATATCGCACACCCCTAGTGCAAACCTGCAAATAACAGATGTACAAGCATTAGCATGACTCTCCTTGCCACCCACTGCCCTGGCATTTCATGAACACAAATGTCAAAATGCCAGTTAGAGCTGATAATGCAGCGGTACTGTGAATCTGTGTACACTGTGACTCTGTGTGTTATATTTTATGTCTGGCAAATATTTCTAAAGTGGGATCTGGTGGAAATGAATATAAACCAGGGTTGAGCAAAATTCAGAACTGAATAATTGGCATCTTTTCAGTGTTGCGTTGGAGTAGCCACATCACACAAAGCTGAATTGGACTTGGAATGACAGGACGAATTAAGGAAATGAAGTGTTCTTCCATTCAGATCCACAAAAGTTAATTTATATAGTAGGATTAAATAGATCAACTAAATACACATTCATAAAATTGAAGTTTTAAAAATCTATCTGTCAGTAAGGTCTACAAATCTACAAAATATTTTTTTTTCAAAACTTTAAAACAAACCTTTGTTGAGTCAATATTCAAAATTTCATCTTGACAAGCTTTGCTTTTCTAGTAAAAAATAAGAGTTGAATTTTGTTACATTTTAAATTGCAATTGTGCATTCTGTTTGATACATCAAATTAAATTATATTAAAATTCAGGATTTGAAATGAATTTGAAAGTTAAAGTCATTAAATGCAAAATGCATGAATGACATTAAATTCAACACAACCCAATACCGTATAAAACACATCAGCAGACTCAGGGAGAATCTGTGAATTTTTTCAGAATTTTTTGTGCTCATTTCAGGGGAAATCTGCAGTACTGTATGTATTGTGAGCCGAAAGAATAATCAATAAGCCAAATATTTTATGAGCAAACGAGCAATGATCAGGGGATACGTAGGACATTGTGATTGACAGATGTTCTAGCTCTGCTGAAATCTGCTTATCAGTTAATGCCAGCGCTCCTCTCGAAATAATCTCGGAATAATCCAATGGGAGCAAAGAAACTACAGGCCTGCGAGGAGCTCAACTTTAGTTCTGTGTTTTCTCTTACAAACTGCGACACTGAAATTAGGGTGGAGTTTGCCTCTGGCTCTGGGATGTAGATCATCTATTTTCTCATTCCCTTTTTCTTTTTTTCCTCTCTCTTTTCCAGAGCAATCCATTCTGCCTTGCATCTGGGTTTTGTTCAAGGGCATCGCAGCACGATGGTGCTTCACAGCCTTGTCTCCCTCCATGAGATCTGGCCAGGAATTCTTAACATCCTATGCCACCACCAAAACACAACTATTAGACCCAGAAGCCACCACAATAAAGGGCATACTGAACTGATATTTACCACATGAGTTTGAATCTAGATGATCTAATGTGTGACAGTGAGACCACACAATCCTGTGAGGAAAATAAAAATTGTGTGTCTGCAAGCACATCTGTGATGTTAACAGTTTGGCACTAAAGAGAGATTTTGGCAGTGCATTCTTCTTTCACTGACATCCAGGATGTTTCTAAGCGTGGTCAAACACTGTTCTGGAGTGAATAACTATCACAGGGCTGTTTTTAGTAAACAGAGCATCCAAATGGTTCCAAAAGGGCTCAGAAAGTGCAATGAATCATGGTCCTGCACAGTGAGGTAACCCTGCATTCCAACCTTGTTCCACACTCATATTCCAGAATGCTGAGATAATGTTCTAATTATATGTTCTGGAAATTTTTAAGATCCCAAGGAAATCAAGACATCAGAGTTCTTGAATGCAAGTTGAGCTGCAAGCGGCCCCAATCCTGTCTATAGTCCTGTATAGCGCACAACACACCCCCTATCCCTTCATCATTTCATTTCAGGAGTGTTATTAAAATCCACTTAAAGGCACGCACAGGTTTGCTCTATGGAATGTATGCAACAGGCCAGCAGGCCCCTAAAAGTCTGACCCTCAACATCTGCTTTGAATCTGGTTAAAATATACATGGCCTGTTACAATCGGTCAATGTGCTTGCCTAACGCCTTGTATACCAGGGCAGATGGACGGTTTTCTGTTTTACCGTATGTCTTATGCAGATGGGTTGATTATTCACTTTCAATAACCTTTGCTCTGAGACATGTTTGCGATAGCTTTGAGGCTTCCCTCTCATGTCAAGCAACAGCTTGTCAGCAAACAACAAAACACACTCACACTAAGATCTGTAGCCTAGAAAATTGATGTTGTCAATGTCAGCATGACAAATCCATGGGTCACATGGCGAGGAACCTGTGCAAACCCGGTTGAAAAAAAACTAGCTTAAACCATTCTGGCTAACTGGACTTGGCTGGTTTACGTTAGTCTCCCAGCCTGGTTTAGCTAAAGTGCCCAAAGCCCCCCTAAACCAGCCTGACCAGGACTAAACAAGACCAGCTAACAAGCTCAGTCTGGTCTAAGATGTTTTGTTTTTCAACGGGGAATATACTCATGAGATTAGCAACACACATGCATGCATCATCTCGAGAAACAACAAACTTGTAGCTGAAGCTGTAGTCAAAAGCAAAAAGAAGACTCATTAAACATTTACGAAGATTACACGAAGCAGTCGATAAAATAATAAATAAACAGGAAACAAAACAGCAAAACATCTGCAAACAGAATATCATAATCATTATCATTCCCACTGACTCTCAGGAATCAGGCTTTGAGGCTGAAATATAAAGAGAGAGAATTGTGAAAGATACATAAAAAGATGGAGAAGAGAAGAAGATGAGAAGTAGATATGGGGAGTTTCTTTTTGATTACATCCTCCATCGGCTGCTCTTTGCACATGATGCTTCTGACATCACGGTGACATCACAATGATGTCACACAGCAAAATACTTAGCAGCAAGCATGCTGCTCCATCAAGCACATACAATTCAAAAACATCTTACATGCATTACATTCCTGTTCTGACAGGGCACTATACCAACACAAATTAAATTCAGACTCTCTCACACAGTTCTTCTTAACTATAATATTTTAGGAGTGACCCATCAGGACAGGAACCCCAAAAAAAACATTTTACTGTAAATATAAGACTATGACTTACAAGATTTCGTCGTTTTGGAACTCCAGAACACCATGGGAGTCTTCAAAGTCTTCTCCCCCTCCACGCGCAGTTCCCTCAACGGTTTTATATGGCAGTGACACCACCCCACGGGCGCCAGACGTACGCAGTACCTTCACTTCCATGACACCCACACTCTCACTAATGTGGGCGACTGGCTCTTCAAATGTGAAGATTCCAGCATGGTCATCGTCAAAGATGGTGACTGTTGCTGTAGAGGGCACACCGAGCGTTGCGATGGTCTCCATGTGATTGGCTTCAGTGGTCTCTGGCTCATCACCCTCATGAAGCACACGGACATTTCTGAGGTGGATGAGGAAGTTCTCATCCTCTTCAAAGATGTCATCGTCAATAATTCCAACTCGGATCTCCTTTTGCGTCTCACCTGGCTTGAAAACGACAGTGCCTTCTGTGAATTCGTAATCTGAGCCGGCGTTTGCGGTTCCATCTTCTGTGCGGAATTCCACAGACACCGTCTGGTTGAGATCACCTCCACGTCGGATCACATTCACCGCCACGGTTCCACAGTTTTCCAGGCACTGGTAAGAGCCAGGGTCAAAAAAGATCTTTGAAATCGGGTCATTCTCTCCAGTGTCACTGCGCACCTCATGCATGCTCACTGCTTTACGAGCTTGGTCCGCCGCATGCTTCTTCAGAATGTTACCTGCTCCGGTCATTAAGCGGGTCGCTTGGCATCGGTAGAATGCACGGCTCTTCTGCTGCTGGCTGAGCACCTGGTAATTAGCAAGTTCAATCAACTGCTCCACCTCTTTATCAGGATGTTTCTGCTTCAGTTCCTTCAGGATCTTCGCCATTTCACGTCTTGCTTCCTCCTCATCTAGATCTTTGTCCTCCAGTTCCAAAGCCAGAGTTCCATCCAAGAAGTCCACTGCGTGAGAGTTCAGCATCTTCCCGTCCATCTCGATATCCACCTTGGATGGCAGAGGACGGTCCCCCTCCGTCTCGATGATCATGCCACGGTGCTTGCCAGCTCGGTAGCGCTTGTAAACATACTTGTAAAACAGGAGGCGGCGGTCAGCGATCCAAGCAAAGACCACGCAAATTGGAAAGAAGAAAAGAGTAAGAAGACCTTCCCACACCTGAACGACGCCCGGCGATATAACAGCCAAGATCAGGTAGAGCCATAAGTAAGCGAAGATGCTCCAAGTGGCGGTAACGAAGAAAACACGCAGGTGTTTCACTTTGCGATGCTCTCCATCGGGCACCACGTAGACACAGATTCCAATAATGACGAACATGTTGAAAGCTGCACTGCCAACAATGGTAGCGGGTCCGAGGTCACCAGCTTCAAAGTTATGGCCGCACACTTCAATGACTGAGAGCAGAATCTCAGGGGCTGAAGACCCCAGAGCCATGAGGGTGAGGTTGGACACAGTTTCATTCCAGACGCGTACAGTTGTAGTGGTCGTTTCACCATTGGGTTTCTTAATGGTGATCTCCTTCTCCTGAGAGGTGATGACCTCAATGGATGCCATGAAGCGGTCAGCAATAATCGAAACTCCCAGAAACATGTATACCATTGCCACAAAGTAAACCGTGGCTCGGGCAACCTTGTCCCCAAACGAAGGGTTTGGGGGCTCCCACATTGGAAGGATGACTCCTGGGGCACATGTAACTGACCCACCACAGCTCAAAGACTTGTTGGAAGGAGAACTATGATCCTGGCTGTGGTCTGAAGCATGTTCCGCTGTCACATAGTGGACGTTGTAGAGCAGTATCACCATGATGACTAGACACTGAAAGCTCAGGAAGAGGCGTGGGGAAGTGTCACGATGCCTCATCGTTCCTTACTCGGCAACAAACTTCTGCTATAATAGAAAGAGAAAAGGGGAATGAAGAGAAAAATAGATCAAGCAACTATTGAAATGAAACCAGGACACTGATCACAACAAGAACCGACACGCGTGTTCTCAAAAACTGTTGCATTATTACGGCATGTCTGACACTGATTCAAGGCTGACATTTTTGGAACATTTCATCAGCATTTGCTGAAAGGCACGTTCCCAAAATATCAGGTAAAAAAAACTCATTCTGGAGCATTTGTACATGATTATCTATTTGTCAAATTTGTTTATCAATTCAATCATCAGGTTCATTTCAACAGAATGCATAAACTAGTCCAGATGCTCCCTTAAGCCTAGTGCTCAACGACATTACATTCTGCTAGTTGTTTCTCGCTATTAGTCCAGAGCAGTTGGTTCCAAAAAATAATCCAATGAAGTTCAGTTTGGGACGATGCATGGTGCTTGATTGCAAGTAAGCAGAACTAACTTAAAACAATGCCTGCAAAATGCATCATCATACAAAGGGTGGCAATCGGCCCCTGAGGTAAGAAGAAGAAACACATATCATGGTGCAAAACACAAACCCACAGTGTCACACACACACACACACACACTCATATCTGCAGTCATCAATGGGCATAGCGCGCTTGCATACATTACTCCCACATTCATATTAAACTAAAACCACTAAGCTTTGAATATGCCTACATAATTATGTAATCATACGGATTTCGGTAGCTTTAACGATCGTTTAACCTCGGTCGGTTTAGCGATCTGAAATGCAAAAGAACCGAATACAGAGCGCTTTAATTCAGCACTGCTCAAATCTCGCTCACTCTCATTCACATCTACCGCAACCTACTGCTCTCATTCAGCACCTCTACTCCATCCACTGATGAAACATCTGTTATCCCACAACGTACGCGATGCGACACGCATCATTTCATATTTGGGTGCTCTTATTGTTCGGATAAACGTTGGCTATACGGTTGCCTTAAGGGCTTTCTTCGTGATGTGCTCATAGAGCGCGGGGGTTCTTGCAACCAGATCGTGTTTAATACAACTTTCACGCGCGCGTCAGAATCCCGTAAAACGAGGTGAAGGCGAACGGCCGGTTAAAGCATCATCCGCGGGCCACTGCGGACCGGACCGGACCGGACCGCACCGCACCGGACGGGCACGAGAGCGCACCTCTGTATCAAATGGGTCACTCTCCGTAATGATGATATGAATGTGATACTCGGTTTGTCGGTGGCCCCCTATTAACCCTCGTGCAACGATATCGCCAGCATAGCTACATGCAAACCCATAATATATACATATAAAGAAGGTCCTCTTACCGTAACGGTGTTCCGTGAAGTAGTCAGTCTGTGGGAAAACGGCAGCAGGAATGTTAACGGAGACAGTGCGTGTCGGAAGCCGTCAGTAGTATCCCAGCTCGCATTAGTTTAGGTTTTTATATAGGAGATTCAGGAAAGATTAGAGACCCACGCGAGTATTATATGGACCCTCCGATTTCCATACACGCGTGTTTTTCCCCAAACAGACCCGTAGCGATCAAATATCTGATGCTTTATCAGCAAATCTGAGAGCGCTGAAATGTGCGTGCGAGTTCTTCCTCATTCTTCCCTCTCTCGGCTGGTTCAGTGTGAGGGACCGGGTGCGTGTGAACAACAGTGTGTGTGTATGTGTGTGTGTGTGTGTGTGTGTCTGTGAGCGTGTGAGCGTGTGCGCGCGTGCCGCGGAGCCTCGCGCTCTGTGAGTGGGATACGCGCTCTGCGGTCGGGAAGAGACAGAGAAAGCGGGATTCAGCTTCAACGTTTCTCTTTTTGTCTCCTCTCCCTCTGTTGCCCTTTCTCTTACAAACATGTATGAACGCAAACGGTCCTTTATCCGTGTTACTGATGATCAATGAATGAATTATCAGTCAAGGTGACCACGTGATATAATACCGGTTTCATTTGTAGTGGTGTAATACATCACACACTCGACACCTCATTCATTTTCTATACAGCAACCTCTTCAGCCGGCTGTGAAAACCACACAATTCCATGATGAACGGGTTTGTCTGTAAGTAGCCTACTGTAGTAAAGGGAAATCACACTCATTCCGCGAATCAGTTATTTAGGTTCAGCACGTTTAATTAGATTTTTTAATTTTCTTCTGCTCTATTAAAATAACTTTTCGCACAATTAGGCTAATTCGAAACAAATATTTCAAATAATTAACAAAAAAGGGCATCCGAAAGAGATGATATGATACTCAGTTCAATAGGTCAGTAATTAGTTGACTTGTGAACCGCATTATTCAAATCGAATTTTAAACTTGCTCACTAAATGATCCAACTCAAAAGAACGATTCGTTAAATCGGACATCGCTCCTGAATGGATATATTAAAAAATAAAAATAAAATTATATATATACCGTGTATATATATATATACACACATACACGCATGAACAAATTAATAGCTAATAGTGTGAAATTCTGAAGTTCACATGCATGGCGCACACATACACTATAATCTCTAATTTACATCTTAATTGCATCATTTCATTAAAACCTGAGCAGATTTCTTTGATCTTCACCCTTTTCTAAACACCCCTAGCTTCCCTTTCGTGGAACTTCAAACTGCGTCCTCTAGGGGTCGCTATGGGGAACGCCTCGTCGTGACCCGTGTCTGAAGCCTACATTGAAAACACACCAACTTGTTTGGCCGGCGACAGCCATGACGTCACTACCGCCGTGACTAGTACAAAATAGGCGCCGGTAGCGCACATCATTCTCTTCTTCGTCTTCACTGACCGGTCTGTTTGAAGCGTGCATTCCAAAAAGCAAAGTAAGAGCTTTTTTCTTTCCTACTATGGCAAGCACTAGCGAAGCGTTTAGAAAGTGTGTACATCCGTGTCAGAGGACGCACACGATGTCCTCGAGGGGGCAATCTGTGTGCACTGTGAGAGCTTTTCTCTGGGTGGGGGTAGGAAGGCAGGCGAAACCCGAGGGGTGAGACCTGGGCAAAGCACCAGCGCTTTCGTCCGGGTCAGAGTAATACCTAGGTATTCACTCTCTCCCGCAGGGAGTACAACATCTACCCTGTTCTCCCCTTTTTTCTAATTCCCTCCTTTTATGACCACCATCTCTAGCTGACCGAGGTTAGCTGTAAAAAAAAATTCAAACAGTCTCCTACTGGGCCCATGATGTTTTGGTGGTTCTATGGCCAGATCATAATGGCTGTCGCCGGCCAAACAAGTTGGTGTGTTTTCAATGTAGGCTTCAGACACGGGTCACGGCGAGGCGTTCCCCATAGCGACCCCTAGAGGACGCAGTGTCTCGTTCCCCTCAGGGAACCATGGTTACACAAGTAACCCGAGACGTTTCTCTTAAAATTTTTCCATGTGCAACATGACTTTTTTTCTAAGATGCTGATAGTCACACATGTATCAAGAAGATTCATCTTATATATATATATATATATATATATATATATATATATATCAGATGAATCATCTTGATACACGTGTACAGAAAGTTTACAGATTACTGTAGATATATATATTAAAATATTACTGCACATGATATAGAAACAAAATGGCAGGTCATTACATATCTGCATCAAAAAAGGAGAGTATTTTACAGTAATCTGTCTCTTGCTTACCTACTGCCTACCCACTTTTTTGGTTTGGCTGCAATAACACATTATGTCAACAGAGGCGCCATAGAGGCATGAAGCTCTGAATTAGTACAGCACAGGTGAGTATTCACCTTTGGTGGTCTTTAGTGAATTGCTACTCTCTTTTTCTCACTCACTCAAACTGTTAGATCATTACATAGGAATAAGCAAGCCTTCAGTTCAGAGTCAAATAAAACAAAAGAATACATGGAATTAAACCTATCAAAACAAACATTGTTTAAACCAGTGGTTCCCAAACCTGTCCTGGAGGCCCCCCTGCCCTGCACCTTTTGTATGTCTCCCTTATCTAACACACCTGATTACACTCATCAGCTCGTTAGAGACTGCAATAACTAAATTGGGTGTGTCTGATTAGGGAGACATACAAAATGTGCAGGGCAGGGGGTCCTCCAGGACAGGTTTGGGACACACTGGTTTAAACCAACAGAGTGAAAACATGCATTTTACCTCAACTGATTTTTCCTCTGTGGAATCAGAGAGGTGTGGTAAATAATGTCAGACTTGTGCAAATATTTGCTCGGGCTCTTTTGTTTGAAACAATTTGTGTCATTCATCTGCATTTGGCTCAGACGTGTGCTTTATAAGGCCACATCTGACACCCAAGGGCTCAGCCACAGTAATGCAACCTAAACTACTGAACACACTGCCACACACACAAAAAGTTACGTCCTTGCAGCTCCTCAGACACCACTGTGGTCAGAGTAGAGGACGCTGAGCTTTGCCACTAATGTAAAAATAAAGTTATAGTAGTTGTTTTTTCCCCTCAATAAATCTAAAGGTGAGTTAAAAAAGAAGCAGCAGCTGTTTTGGCTTTGCTCAGGTGCGGTACAGCGTGGCCTAGTTCTTGTTCATTTCGGCCAGAGGGAGATGTCTCTCTCTCTTTCTCTCCTTCCCTCTCACTGCTTCTCTACTCGTCCCTCATTCGCCCTCACAGTCCTCTCATTCTCTAGTGTTGATCCAGCAGTTTACTGCCACAGTTGAAGCAAACCTGATGTGTAAAAATGCCAGTTTAAACTACAATTATCTTTTTCACACACACAAATAGATGTAATAGTTTTCATACAAAGACAATGATATTTGCAGTACCCAACCTTCACACAAACCTGTTGACATTACTAGATCAAACATGATTTATGAGCTATTCAAATAGTACAGAGCGCTTCAAATGTTTTTGTCACTATATTTCTGAAGACATTTTCACAAACTTGGGCAGTACTATTTTTTGTTCCATTGGTTTCCATTCATATGCATGCAAATACATGAGATCAGAAATGCAATCTCATGCGACTTCGTATCACGTGAAGACATACGACCAATAGAAATAAAACAGTCATAGAATAGTCATGCCATGATCTCATAGCAGAATTAAAATGCAAATTTTAAATCTGCAAAGTTGCAGGTTAAAGCTGCAGGTTTCCCCGTTATTCCTGATGTAGTCCAAGCTCTTTGCAACGGGCGCTTTGTCGCTTCAAGCAGTCGCGTTCATATGGTTGCGCCGCATCCAGTGTAGGATATTTCACTGATTATAATCAATGGGCTCTACTGTCTTTTTTGCTTTCGCTCGCGTCCTGTGTAGACACGGCACACATGTATAAAGAAGATTCATCTGATATATATATATATATATATATATATATATATATATATATATATCAGATGAATCATCTTGATACACGTGTACAGAAAGTTTACAGATTACTGTAGATATATATATTAAAATATTACTGCACATGATATAGAAACAAAATGGCAGGTCATTACATATCTGCATCAAAAAAGGAGAGTATTTTACAGTAATCTGTCTCTTGCTTACCTACTGCCTACCCACTTTTTTGGTTTGGCTGCAATAACACATTATGTCAACAGAGGCGCCATAGAGGCATGAAGCTCTGAATTAGTACAGCACAGGTGAGTATTCACCTTTGGTGGTCTTTAGTGAATTGCTACTCTCTTTTTCTCACTCACTCAAACTGTTAGATCATTACATAGGAATAAGCAAGCCTTCAGTTCAGAGTCAAATAAAACAAAAGAATACATGGAATTAAACCTATCAAAACAAACATTGTTTAAACCAGTGGTTCCCAAACCTGTCCTGGAGGCCCCCCTGCCCTGCACCTTTTGTATGTCTCCCTTATCTAACACACCTGATTACACTCATCAGCTCGTTAGAGACTGCAATAACTAAATTGGGTGTGTCTGATTAGGGAGACATACAAAATGTGCAGGGCAGGGGGTCCTCCAGGACAGGTTTGGGAACCACTGGTTTAAACCAACAGAGTGAAAACATGCATTTTACCTCAACTGATTTTTCCTCTGTGGAATCAGAGAGGTGTGGTAAATAATGTCAGACTTGTGCAAATATTTGCTCGGGCTCTTTTGTTTGAAACAATTTGTGTCATTCATCTGCATTTGGCTCAGACGTGTGCGTTATAAGGCCACATCTGACACCCAAGGGCTCAGCCACAGTAATGCAACCTAAACTACTGAACACACTGCCACACACACAAAAAGTTACGTCCTTGCAGCTCCTCAGACACCACTGTGGTCAGAGTAGAGGACGCTGAGCTTTGCCACTAATGTAAAAATAAAGTTATAGTAGTTGTTTTTTCCCCTCAATAAATCTAAAGGTGAGTTAAAAAAGAAGCAGCAGCTGTTTTGGCTTTGCTCAGGTGCGGTACAGCGTGGCCTAGTTCTTGTTCATTTCGGCCAGAGGGAGATGTCTCTCTCTCTTTCTCTCCTTCCCTCTCACTGCTTCTCTACTCGTCCCTCATTCGCCCTCACAGTCCTCTCATTCTCTAGTGTTGATCCAGCAGTTTACTGCCACAGTTGAAGCAAACCTGATGTGTAAAAATGCCAGTTTAAACTACAATTATCTTTTTCACACACACAAATAGATGTAATAGTTTTCATACAAAGACAATGATATTTGCAGTACCCAACCTTCACACAAACCTGTTGACATTACTAGATCAAACATGATTTATGAGCTATTCAAATAGTACAGAGCGCT